TGTTCCTCATCTCGGAAAAATAACCTCGTTATAACGAAACCAACATTTTCTTTATTGAAAATAATTTTGTTTTATTAAGAATGTTTTTTCTTTCACAGTGGCTATATTAAACGATTAACTTGAAATTGAAGTTTATGTATCCATCACATCTATAATTGGAGCCTGTTTGAAATTTTTATATTCATTAGTCGATTCATTATAACGATGGCTTTTTACTTTTTGCACTTTAATGTGGTTATTTTACCGCTTTATATAAACTATATATAAAGATTGTTAAATTTTGGCTGTATTTTTTGCTAATGTCGTTTTTGGAAATAAAACTTACATTTTTTTTTTGATGGGTGAAAATGGTATGGTAACCCCGCCTGCGCTAACGGGATACGCTGGCGGAGCACCAGTGAAGGGTGATCGATGAGAATGAAAACAGGCCAGTTAGCCCATCATGATGAATTCATCAGGAATTAACCATGATAGTTTCCAGGGGGAACCGCGAGGAGGTCGACCTGGTTGGGTATATTGCTAGCAATGGGATTCTCAGTCTCCATTACTAACAATCCCTTCCCCCAATAAAACTTACATTAAGAAAGTTAATGTTCTTTTTTGTTGGAGAATAATTTTTTTTTAATATTTTTTATCCGTTATTTTCAAATAACATTTAAAAAAGATTAAAAGAACCCTTTGTTTATGATCATCATCTCAGGCATTATCTATTTGCTGCTAAACATAGGCCTCTATACAAACTCTCTACAATGCATTTGAGGTCATTATTCCAGGTTGTCCTACATTGCATTTACTCGTATAGGGTCGTCGTTCGAGAACTTTTCTTCTCCATCGGTTGTCGGTTCTTCGAGCCATGATGCGACCAGCACATTGCCACTTCAGCTTGCTCTCTCTTTGGGCTATCTTGGTGACTTCGGTTCTTTTGTGGATATCGTACGCACTGGTTAAATATCTTCGTCTTCAAACTTTGAGGTACTTTGGATAAAATGATGTAGCGTAGTTTTCCGAACGTTACCTAGCCGAGATGAATTTAGCGGTTGACCTCTCGGTTGAATTTAATTTTAATGAATGATAATGGAATGGTAACTCCGCCTGCGCTAACGGTATACGCTGGTGGGGCACCAATAAGGGATGATAGGTGAAAATGAAAAGGCAGGCTACTTAGCCCATCGTAATGAATCTACCTGGAATTCAGCACGTTGGTTTACAGGACCACGTGAAGATTGGCCTGATAGGGTACTAGCAGTGCGACTGGTAATCCGCATTACTAACAATCCCTCCCCCCCTCGATTAAAGTTGGAGTTATCTAGTCGGATAAGTTGTTCCAGGTATTCATACTCGTCTACAACTTCGACTGTAATGTTCTCAAACATAACCAGTATAGGTGTGACGTGAACGTTAGACATGATTTTAGTTTTGTCTATGTTCATATTAAGACCATATCTGTTGAGAAGCGCTATTCAAGTCATTAAGCATAGTATTCAAGTTCTCCAGGGGTTCTCTCATGATTACTTTATAATCGGCAAATCGACGGCAAGTATTCTATTCGCCATTGATGTTTATACCATATCTCTTTTTTTTTATACAACTTAGAACGGCAAACAAGTTGACGGCCCACCTGATGGAAAGTGGTAACTGTCGCCTATAGACATGAGCAGTACCATGGAGATAACAGAGTATACTGTTTCGCTCATGATATCCCCCATGCGTTGCCATTCTTGAGGACTCAGGTGTTATTCCTCTGTACCCAGTAAATTCACCATATCTTTTCTAGCCCAGTTTGAAAATTATCTCCCAATGCAGTTGTGAAGAGTTTCGGGGATATGACTTCAACCTATTTTACTGGAGTGGGTTTCGTAATCTGGTTCTGTTCTCAGATAGACATCGTAGCCTTACTTTTGTTATTCTCTCAAAAAAAAAAAAAACAGTAGAATATACAGCACACAAAATACAACATTTACCTAAAGTTTTCAGTACTATAATATTTTACAATATCTTGCATATGTAGGAATAATCTGGTGAGATCAATTTTCTATATATTTTATCCTCATAAATATTTTGATAGTGAAATGATCCGGGATAAAGCAGAGCATAAATAAGAAATGGTCGAGTTAGTTACTAGTGTTTTTCGATAGCGTAAATACAAGTAATATTAATAATTTATTTATAATATGTACCAAATTATTCTTAATTTGTTATAAAGAGCTATATGTAATGGTTAATAAAGAATTTTAAACCAACAAATGTATTTGACGACAGTGTTGGTCAGCTACATCCATTGAAATAAGTATATTAAAAATATTCGTATTTGATGGCAAACTTCAAAACTATTATACAAGTTACAGATTTTACTTACCATATTTTAATATTTTCTTCCACAATGACGTTGGTAACAAAAGGAGAATTGAAAGGCAACAAATGCGGGCCACAGAAGAGGCTTATTCTCATTCAAATGAGTTTCAAAGAAAGTATTCGACACTTTGATGTTATAAGTAATATTTATCTACATTGTTTCAATTTTAGATAATATTTTTCTATATAATAATGATTCTATATCAACAGTATAAGAATGATTTATACTTTCTGTTATATAGTTTCTAGATCACTGCAATCTGCTGAAGCAGTTTTTGTATACTCATCAGTTTATGTACAATTTAAATAGTATAGTAATGTCGTTTCTTATATACGTAATATAATTTATAATTATTTGGGTAAATTAATTTTTAGTTTTATTTCTTAAATATCTTAATAATAAAAAAACAGAATGTTATAAGAATTTGTCACATATGTAGTGTAAAAAATCCCCTACTTGATTTTTTTTAGTTTTATAATAAAAAATGTTTTTTTTTATACTACTTAGAATTGCAAACAAGCTGACGGCCCACCTGATGGAAAGTGGTAACCGTCGCCTATAGACATGAGCAGTACCGTGGACATAACAGAGTATACTGTTTCGCCCATGATACCCCCCATGTGTTGCCATTCCTGAGGACTCAGGTATTATTCCTCTGTACCCAGTAAATTCACGCCATATCCCACTCTCAAACCAGCCATGCAAACACAACGGCTTCACGATTGAAACACGAATGGGACAGAGGTACCCAAGCAATCGACTTTTGTACAAAGTCTCCCTTTGTTTTTGCATCTATGTATATTACATTTACAATTATTATGATTTAGTAGAATACATATATTTTTATTAGTGTTACATATGTAAAGAATTACCTTACTTATAACAATAACACACAGCGACGTAAAATAGAATAGAATGTAGTTCTCAGTTCTGAGAGCTCATTTATAGTAATTTATACGCAATTGTGGAGTTATTCAAACAAGACGGCTGTCACTGGAACTTCTTGATAAACCGAAGCAAACAAAGCTAAATCAATAAGTTTCTGAAATTGTACCGATTAGTTTTTTATCGCGGCCTTGTCTGCACCCATCTAAATCCATCGAAACTCACGATCCCGTCCGAATTATCCAGAATCATATGAGAAAAAGTTGATAGTTTCAGTTAGTTGTAATCTACAGTTGATAATAATTGACTTTAGCTGTAGTTTTTTAACTAACAAAAATTAAATAGCATTCTCGCATAAGCGTTACATCAATCAGGGATGGGAATGGAGTTATGTCAATTGGCTTATTATAAAGAATTTACGAAGAATTAATCGTATCTTTTTCTCTGCTATTACTAACAATCCATCGAATCTCTCTTCCATAAAGTAAAATGGAGAGTGAATCGATTCTTTTTTGTCTTAGTTTCAATTTTATACCAATTTTAGTTAACAAGATTTACATTATGGCAATTGGATTGAATGAAATAATAATAAGCTAAACTCGGTTTTGCGATTGACGAAGCTAATAAGATGGCTTCCCAAACAAAGCCATGTCGGACGCAATTATTCTTTTATTTATATTTTCATTCATTCTTGTTTCTTTCGGAAAGTTATAATAAAGGAGCTTGACTTTTACATTATGTATTAAAATGAGACCGTTCTATTTTATTTTCATAGGATTTTTATAAAAAAAGGTTTATTATTTGTACTAACATAATATTGTAGTGTCGAAATAATTGTTTGACATGTTTTTTCTATTTCTGTATGTTTTATTAATTTTTTTAAAGTAATATAAAGAAAATTATATTTGAAGCTTTATATTTTAACAATTAAATGTGTAGGTATACATATAAGGCACATATCTTGTTCGATATTAATGCAACTCACTGCACGGTCTTTACTTTCAAGTCATTCATAGAAGTCCGATATATTTACACATAATCCTATTGCTTATACAGTATAAAACAAAGTCGCTTCCAGTCTTCTGTACGCTTAGATCTTTTAAACTACGCAACCAATTTTAATGCGATTTTCATCAATAGATAGAGTGATTTAAGAGGAAGGTTTATACATTTAGTTTAATAATAGTATTTATTATTTCAGCTGTTAACTGTCCATTGCTAAACATAAGTCTTTTCCATAAGGAGAGATTTGCCAGTAGCTGCCACGCTTGGCAGGCGGTTTGGCAACAGCAGTTAGGCATGATTTGTGTTTTCATTTACCATCAGATGAGCCGCATGCTCGTTTGCTCTCTGTGTTGTAAAAAAAAGTAATGTCTGGTGGGATTGGTTCTCTTTTATAGGTCTACAAAAAAGTGTGCAATGTTTCTTTTAAGGATAGCTTTCTATATCCATCTAATTCATACTCGACGCAACAAGCTGATGCAAAAGATGTAAACATATATGTTCTACTGCCTGTGCGAAGCCAGGGTGCATTGCTAGTAATATAATAAATGCGAAAGTGTGTAACTAAGGATTGATGGATGGATGGGTGATAGTTACTCTTTTACGCAAAAATTACTGAACGTTTTTGAATAAAATTTGTGTACTGTATAATACTGTATGTACTAATTCGCGCAGACGAAGCCACGGGATATTACTTAATACTATGATTTATTTAGATAATTTCATCAAAATTCAAATATTATAATTTGTACTCATACAGTGGAAGACAACGTCTTGTCCCATACGGCGCGACAGTTGACTCCAGCTAAAGTGGGCGGTTCAGTGGTGCTGCGATGTGACGTGTCTCCTCAAGTTGGCCTCGTGGATATAACATGGTTACAAGATGGTTTACCTTTATCATCAGGATATTTGGCATCCGGTAAGTAACCATTCATTTTTTATCAATAAAATGTAAATTACGTATCATAAATAACGGATCTCAACGAACTTGTTTTGTGCTCAAACGTTTTAAATAATAAAACGTTGTAAAGCTTAATTTTATACCATACCTGGACGAAAATTTGCTACTTATTTTCTTCAAAGTAGTGGACAAAGTCTGTAACTTCATAATTTATTAACCTTAGATTATATAATATTCTACAATTAGGCACAGCTCTCTCCTCATAACAGAAGGATAATTAGTCAGGCAATTTGGTATAGGATTTTATTTCGAGTTTTTATTAAGTTTAAAACAGGGGCAAGTATGAAAATGAAAATCGATAGTGATTATTTGTTCTATGTTATAATGTTCTTTAGCCACAGAGCAAGTAATATCTACATTGTTTAAAAGTCGGCATCGCCCTTGTATTGATGAAATTGGAAAACGGATTTACGCAATTATTTAGAAGTTTTGACATGGTCAAACAAATGAATATTAGTAGGATTGCACAAGTATTTATAATATGCCCCTATTCAAAATATCGATGTTGATAGGTTTCTCAAAAATCTAACTATTTACCTACAAAAAATAATGAAGGCTTATTCAATCCAATATTATCAAGTTAGTAATAATTTGGCATCAAAGTGAGAATTCTTGGTAAAAAATTAAAAAAGATTAAATTCCTAATTTTAATACATAAGTATATGTATATATTATTATAAGTATATATCGCCGTGTGATCTCGACATAGAGTAGGACACCCCTTTCTTTCCCGTGGATGTTGTAAGAGGCGACTAAGAGAGGATGAGGGATGGACAGCATAGTCCCTCTTAAACATTTCCAAAGCCTAATTATGGTTGCCAATCCGCCTGCTAAACATGGCAATTACTGGCAAAACCCCCCAAGCTTCCCCAGCTTACGTTTAGCAGTGGACAGTTAAAGGCTGCTATGATGATGTATATTGAACAATTTCATTATTTTTAATTTCAATATTTTCATTAGAAGAATGCAGTCTATTAAGCCCAGCTTTTACTTGACTGTACTTGTCTATGTTGAAATTTCAAATCGTAATAATAAATTATTATTAAATTATTTAACACCAAAATGAGAATTCGCTGTCGCAATTTAAAAAGTTTTAATTCTAAATTTAAATTCTATTGTTCGAAAAAAAAAATTAAGCGAATTTATATAGTTTGTAATCATAAACAATTTGCCCAATTAAACATATGTATGCACTATGATAGATACTTAATAATTTACTGGCCGATAAATTAAAATGATAACAGTCCATTTCAACAGTTGTAATAACGAAGTAAGTATATGATTTGTGTTATAATTTCCCCGTAGGTGTAGTATAAAGCATAAAGCACTGTATATTACTCGGGAGAACAATGCAATAAAAATCAGATATAACAATATTCATAGTCCACGACCACAAAACATCTTCATTAAAACACCACTGTAATGATCATTTGAGTACTCTTTTGTTTGTCGCGTTCCTTGTTTAATGTTACTATTGAAATATGTTTGTCCTTGATAAAGTCTTGGTTAGGGATAGTAGATAGACAGATACTCTTTATTGTTTCCTCCAAAAGATTACAATAGTAAACTTATTATAAATGTAAAGTATTTGCTTAAATTTATGAAATGACTTTTAAATCCAAATTCTACTATTCAATCAATATTATACACTAATAACCCGTCCTAGTATGGCATGGGTTTTTTTTTAATGAAATATAGCTCATGATACTTATTGTTAATATAGTTTTTATTCGTGAAATTTTTCTTATATAGGTTAATTATTTGTTAAGTAAAACAATAAATCTTTCTCCTTTATAACGTTCTAGTTTAGACATAGTTATAAATGTAAATAGATATCAAAATTGTGCCTATGTCGCGTGCCCATTTTTTGCTTTGGCGTAGATGCTCTTCATAATTGCAAGAACTTGAAGTTAATTGGTTGGAAAGCTTCAAGATCCGAGAAGCAATTAGCGACTTGCCTTTGTGTTTACGTAGTCAAGATTAAGTATTGCTTCAGACTCGAGGTGGATATCCGGAGCGGGGGGCCTCTTACTGGGCTCCGAACTAACTCAAGCTGACATACAAGCTGAGTATACGTGTGTAGCACTAGATATGCCAAGTCTGCCTTTGAAACTTACAACTGATGGTTAGTAATCTTATATCCTACTAATATAATAAATACTAGATTTTACTTGCGACTTCGTCCATATAACCGGTATGTATCCACTGACCGGGAAAAAAAGTAGTTATGTCTTTTTTTGTAGTTAGTACGTGTTTATCAAATTTTATAATGATTGGTTAAGCTGTTATAGCGCTAAGATAGACAATTTATTTTCTCATAATATTAGTTAAGATAGTAAAGATGTAATAAAAAAAATAGTCTGTACATAGGGGATATTTAGGAAAAAATTATATATGGGATCTAAATAAGATCAATAGTAGCTAAAACAATATTTTGTGGAATTTTTATTTATTTGTATATTTGTTTCGAAATTGCACAAAAACTATTGCACCAAACTGAATGCGGGTTTCATAGTAATGTTCCAGAAGGTCTAAATTAAAAACAATGTTTTATCTTGATACATTATCTAGAAGTGGTTATCTACTTTCAAATTCTACGCCTTCGAAGTTACGGACAAAAGTTAATATTACTAACAAAATAGTGTTTTTGAAAGTTTATGTTATAAGCACTGAGTTTGTGTATTTATCGATATAATTTATTTTAACAGATAGCAGTTGGTTAGAAAACGTCGAAATAAATTCAATTGAAGCTAGAGCTGGCGACACTGTGATTCTTCCATGTATATTGAGACACGTGAATGGTCACACTATAAGGTAAGGTATATTTTCTGAAATTTTCCCTGATTCTTCGAAAATTAATAGTTGTAATTTTTTATTTAAATCATAAAAATCGAAAAAGAAACTTGTGATTATGTTTTACTTAATTAAACTTGAACCAGTAATTTGAAGATGAAGGGATAGGTAAAGATCAAAGTATATTTAAGTCAATGTAGTAACGATATGTTGAATATTCTTATTACTAAATCAATTTAGAATAAATATCATCTAAATTTCATAGTATAGCTGAACTTAATGAATAGTTGGCAGCGGCAGGACCCTAGCGGCACGTGGACACCAGCAACGGGAGAAGGAACAGTGCGTAGTGGAGCTCTCATAATGCCAAATGTAAGAGAACAAAATGCTGCCCGGTATGCTTGCTCGTCAGGCCTCGAATCGTCTCCACGAATGCTCATAAGATTAACGGTTTATGAACCATTGAGTATGACAATTTCACCTAATCCATTGGTGAGTAGAAAAAGGGACAATTATAAACATATAAATCTTTACATTTTCAAGTCTCTTTGTACCTTTTATTTTCCAGATTGTCCTTAATTAAAGTTGTCTTGCAGATGCTAGGAACCGGTGGAACTGGATTTTTCAATTGCTCAGCACATGGTGGACGTGGAGGTGGAATTACTATGAGTTGGCAGCACGAAGGTAGACCTCTTCATGCTCCACAGTCACGGTTATCCATCGGACCTGTGCGGTCTCACCATGCCGGCCTCTATCAATGTACTGTACACGATCATACGGAATCCACTGTAGCCTCTGCCGAATTGATTATTGCTGGTAATATTTTATTTTTAATCAACTAAATTATCTCTCGTCTTTTTTTGTAAATTTTACAACATCCTTTCTTATTGGTTAATTGCTGAGTTATGTTGTAAATAGAAATAATGTGCAAATCATAATAAATTTAGATCCAAAAACTTCGGCTGTGCAGTTATCAATTTCTTATTTTGTATAATTATATACACAACTTTATTGTTTGTTAAAGAAAAACTTCTTTAGTAATATGATATTAAATTTTGTTTTAGTAATATATTTAAAATTAATTTGTTAATCGTTGAACTGGGTTTCAGACAGGCCGCCAAGGTTGGTGTCTACATTTAGTGAAGCTGTTACAAGAACTGGTCAAAGTATTGCTTTGAGATGTGCAGCTACTGGTGTGCCTCCTCCCAGGATATTATGGACATTAGACGATAGACCACTACCTGCGGCACCTGATAGGTGACTGTTTCTTCTAAATATTATTATCTACATAAATAAATAATAAATTGTTTTTAATTTTTCTTTGACATAAATTCCTTTTTTGTTTTAGATATAGTGTTAATACCAGAGCTGAAAATTTATCTGATAGTGAAGAAGGGACCATTGTATCGATTCTAAGTGTGACTATTCGGAGTGCTGATGAAGGAGGAAGGTACGGTTGTAACGCTACTAATTCACGTGGATCACATGCTCATCATGCAAGACTGAATGTTTATGGTAAATATGCACAATTACAATATTTTGGTTCAATCAGATAAGTGGTAAGGACTTATTAATTTATGAAATTATATACAGGTCCACCAAATATTCGATATTTATCTCCTATGCATGTGAAGACTGATACAGATATAACGTTATACTGCCCTTATTCGGGATATCCTATCAAGTGAGTATAAAATTATTTTATAATTATAATATTAATTTGTAACTTAAATTAGAAAAGTAGTTTAATTTTGAGAAAGCATTAGTTCGGAACAATGATTAACTTGAATTTTCGATAGATTACCTTTAAAGAAAATAATTCTAAGGTCGGCGGTAAGTTGACGTCTTTCTGTTTTTGGTTTCAATATGTTTAACAAAATGTCAATAAGTTGAATATTATGATTACAATTTAGTTTGGGCAAGAATTGCGGTCATGAGCATACTTATTAATAATTTATTAATTATTAATAATTGTAGGGAAGTGATATGGCGACGGGATGATGGTTCTGTAGTAGAAGCAGTAATCGAGCCTGGTGATGATCGCGGTCTTTTAAAATTAAATTCAGTAAGAAGTTCTGCAGCTGGAAGTTATACTTGTGAAATACACGCTGAGAGTGGAGAAATAGCTCGTAGAACAGTACGCATTGAAATTCATAGTAAGTAAGGACTTTTGTTAAAAAATTAAAATAATTGCTATAATAAATCTAAGTTGATTTAAGTTCTTATTTTCATTTTCAGAACCTCCGAAGATAGCTTCATTTCATTTTCCAGAAGAACTTGAAGTAGGAGGAAGTACTCAAGCGACGTGTAGTTTAGTATCTGGCGATAAACCAATACAATTCACTTGGCATAAAGATAATTTACCAATTCCGTCAGCCTTAAAGGTATATTGATATTCATATATTTCTTTTATTTTCTACAATGATAAAATTTGAAGACTATTTATGTTAATTCTTTTTAGGTGGAACAAAAAAATATGGATTTCTTTACAATTTTGATAATCCAAGATCTAACATCAGCTCATAGTGGTGAATATTCGTGTAAAGCAACAAATGATTTCGGTACTGTAAGTCACAGTGCTATCTTAACAGTCAAAGGTATTCATGAACTATATAAGTTTTGAGAATTTAAGGTATTGAACAGCGTCACATTGAAAGTAGTCTTTCCCCACAGAACCACCTACTTGGGTCTGGCGAGCCCAAAATACTTCAGTATCAGCCGGCGCAGCTATACTTCTTCCATGCTCTGCTAAAGGACAACCTTCACCAAGAATTTCATGGGAATACTCACCAGGTATGAAATAACTGTTTAGCTATATAACAGTAAATCTATTTATTTATTTTTATATTTCAATAGTTAATTTTTTATTTTAATATTCTAGCTACTAAGGTAGCATATAACATATACAAAAGTAGATGCCTTTTCTTTTGTTACGTCTCTTTCATTATTTTTCTGAATAATTAAAGTGAACCTTTTGAATTTTTATTTATAATTTAAATTTAGATGGCGAAAACTGGCGGCACGTGTTGTGGGGACAGTCAGATTCAACGGATGCCAGTGGAGGATCAATCCTCTCAGATGGTACGATATGGCTGAGAGCTTCATCACCAGACCATGAAGGCTGGTACCGGTGTACAGCACGTGTCCAACACGCTTTTTTACATCATACTTTTTACCTTGATGTAAGAGGTAAGCAACATATCAATTAATTTGCATTTTAAGAATAAATAAATAAATAAGGTAACTGCCACATATTTGAGAACAATATTATAAAGTTTATAAATGTAAAATGCTGTAAAAACGAAAATTGTTCCATTATAATTTGTTCTCGGTTAATCTAAAAAAATATTTTTGATTTTGAATTCAAAAGGTGGAGATTTTTAAGTTTATTCACTTGTTGATTCTCTATATTTCTGTTGCAGAACAAATGTCTGCTTGTTTTATAATTTTTGAATTTTGGGAATATCCTTTATTATACATAGAAGTTCGATATGGTTCATAGTCGTGGCTTCCCGTAGGAAATTACATTTTCATAACTAAAACTTTAATTTGAATTTGAGTAGTTTACGTTAGTATTGGTACAAATAGTTATACATAACATAAAATATAACATGATCTTTTTAAAGAACCTCCAAGGTTAAGTCGAGGAGGAGGTGGCGGTGAAACGCGATGGGTTGTTAGAGGTTCTACAGCAAGACTTTCATGTACGGTGAAAGGTGAACCTGAAATTCATATACATTGGACTCATGATTTAAGACCGTTAGCTTTACAGTAAGTCTGAATAAATTGATTTTTGTTTGTAATAATATTTTTTAATGTTTTACAATATTTACTGGTATATTTGTTTTAGTGGCAGTGGTGGAATAGAAACAAAGGATACAGGGAATGGTGTGATATTATCAGAAATAACTATTACACACGCAGGGCCAGAACATGCTGGCGAGTATAGATGCCTTGCTCGTAACCTTTATGGAAGCGATGAGCTTATTTATCGTTTATTTGTAAAAGGTAAATACTTAGTGAATCTCTTAATATATTTTTGAGATCATATGGTTATTAAATATACAATTTTACTTGTATTTGTAGAGTTACTGTAACAATTTTATTTAGTTATATTTTGCAGAACATTGGTATATTTTTATGTTTATAGGTGGGTGTCGATTATTTGTTACTGTTTGTTAGAATTTTTGCTATTTCTTGTACAGAAATATTCCCTTTTTAATATAAAATCTTCTGAAATCGATTCGATAGTATTATTGAAGATAATATTACAATAACTAATATATTTTTACAACAGAACGTCCAGCTATACCCGAAGAAGTTAGAGTATCAGAAGTATGGTCACGAAGAGCAAGAGTTACTTGGCGAATACCTCGTGGTGCTTTAGTTTCACATTATTCTCTCCAGTACCGCGCCCTTAATCGGGATTTGACAAACGCTCCGCTTGACGCCCCGCTGCCTGCTCTGCTTGATACTTGGGACTCATCAGAAATCCTCAACATCACGTTAGCTAATTCGGATTTGCTTCATGTTGCGTAAGTTCCTCTCATCTTATGAATATGAAAATGCTCCTGAGATTTCTATTCTGTTAGAAATGTACAATTGTTATGTAAATTAATGTTTTGATTTGACAGTTGTAATATGTTATTAAAGAGTGATGTTATTGTATATTATACTAGAGTAATTGAAAGAAATTCATGTAAAGATATTTAGAGTAAAGTAGGTAAAGATATTTAGAGATTTGTTACTTAATAACAAGTTAAACGGCTAAACAAATTCAGATTAGATCTGCTACACAGATAGATAATATCTATATGTGTAATATGAATAAAACAGGTTAATTATATTGTAAATCAATCGTATAAATCTGTGAAAGAAAATTATCTGAATTTTATTTGAATAACTGCGACTTTATCTTTAGATAATACATATATACTTAGAATAGATATTATAATAATATGACATGACCTAAGATATGACAGTACATTTTTACGCGAAACCTATAAAATTGTATATATACATACAGTTTTATGAGTTTTCCGCAATTTGTCAACTGTTATTACATTTATTATTTAAAATTACTTATGACTAATATTATGTTTTCTAATACATTATTCACATTAGTAATATCGAAATATTACCATATGTCAATATTTTGATTACTTACGCGGTATCATATCGACTGAACGCAGGTCAGAAGGGCCGGGTCGGGCGGGTGCTCTGGTGGCGGGATTATCTCCCGACACGCGATACGCACTTAGGCTGGCCGCCTACAATGACGTCGGCGGCTCGTCGTATACCGCACCTCTACACTTTACCACTCGAGAAGAAGGTAAATACACTTAATATCGACGCTTTCTCCTTTACAGGGGATTTTAGGAGCTAGTAGGTACATATGCGTAAATTATGTCGGAACCAACATTTTGTGACTGTGATGTATAATGATAGCAAAAACCAACAGACGTTGTGTTGTTTGTATTTATTTCATTACGGTCTCTCTATTTGTGTGAATAAAAATGAAAACTCGTTTGTTGATAAGTGTATTGTATTTGAAAACGGCTGGAACGAATTGACGATTCTTTTTTTGTTCGTAATAGTCAGATGAAGGTTTTTGGAGACAGAAAAATTTTAATTTGGACAAGACAACGTTTGTCAAGTTAATTGCTATTATATAGGTATAAAGCACTACACAGTACAAGATATGTGCACACCTCTTATTATGTAGTGTCGTTGACAAACAGTCACATATTGTTCTTTTTTTGAAAATTTTTATTTTTATGGTAATAATATTAATTGGGTCTACGAAAAAACACTTTTTTTTAATATTAATGAATACTAACATCCATTAAGAAATGGGTTATACCAAATGAATATACTGTATTCTAAATATTCTATTTTCAGCAGTGTACAGGTAATGGCTGATATTGATAGAACTTGATGAACTGCAGCGCTATTGTGTTACAAATAAAGTGAATGTTCAAATACTAAAATATAGTATTTGGTATTATGTTACTAATAGTTTGCTGAGATTTATCGTTATTATTAAAATTTACCAACATTATCACAGATAATATAATACTATGCTAGTATATACATATGGTAAAACTGAACAGGTATAAAACAAATAATGATAGATTGAAATGACAACCGCACTAATATAATCTAAGAACATTTCCAAATTTTTGAATATAATAAACATCGTATGACACCCGTCAATGCTTTCCATCCGGTATATTTCAATGATTTAATGCAATACCACTATTAAAATTTTTACGGTGAGTAGTTAAAGGCATTTATACAAAAAATATCAAGACTCACAATAAAATTACAATATTAAATATATTTATGTGAGGGAAATAATTTGGTTTGGATTAGTATTAAGCCATATTTCATATTTACCACGAAGTTCATAATGCTTATATACATCAGTACATTGCAATGCTTCCAATCCATCAATTTGGCCCTCATCAAGTGTCAATTACTCCAAATTCCATTATGACGTAATATACATTTTTAAATAACGTAATTTAATGTTATTTTAAAATTTACCCAAATTATAATTTATTTTTAACCAATTTTAAATTATGCAACGTTAAGATTTTATTTCATTATCTTCATCTAATGATGACATTTACAATTATCTGGCCACTGCTGAACATAGACCTTCTCCATATATTGCTTTAAGGAACGGTCCAGAACCAGAACCACCCCGAATTGAATCTCGGTAATGTATTTGAAGTCGTCACTAGATGGAGTGACGATTTAAGGATTTTATATAACTAGATGAAATATAAAACGATTATGGTAGTACAAACGGAAATTCACAAAAATTCAAAATAATCTAAATAAATAACGGGTTCACGGGGTCATCATATCAGCTTTTAACTGTCCACTGCTAAACATAAGCCTCTCCATTGGGGGGGGGGGGGATGGTTGCCAGTAGTTGTCACGCTTGGCAGACGGGTTGTTAACTGCAGTTAAGCATTATATGGGCATCACAGTGAAATTTGTTTTGACCAGGATACTGTTCGTGTCTATATATGGCACATACTACTTTGCATTAGATGGATTGTTTATAATCCTTTCTAAATACTATAAATAACATGTCTGTGGACGCTTTTGTCTTGAAAAGTCATTTTGTCAGAGAATCAGAAAATGCATGTATTTTTTCTTTATTTATCTGCCTACTTTATTAACATCATAGTAAAATAGAGACCGAATATGGAGTAAGTTTATAATATTTCAAGTTAATTGGTGTAGACAAAAATATTAAAAAATAACACAATTGCAGTATATATATATATATATATATATATTTCATTTTGGATCGGGCACTAGAGGCACAGTGATCTTTATAAAATCAAGTAGTCAAAAGGGTAACAAGTAATAAAGTATATATAAAAAATATATTATGTTTCATAACTAAAGTTAGATTGACTTTATAAGATCACTATCTGCAAATAAATTTGCACATGACTGTAGTTTTATTGGAATAGAGTATTATTGTAAAAGTGTACTGAAGTGTAATAACATCTATATACATACAAAATATATTATTCGTCAATTTTCAATAGCAATTTCAAATATTTCTGAATTATTTCGAAAAGTCATTTTTTACTGTTCACTGAATAAAATTACACGTAAATATATCAGTAAAAAATTGATAGATACTTACTATCCAATTACATTATTTCTGCATGATTAACATTTCAGTTCGCTATAAAAGTATGTTTAAAATTTTATAAAATTAAGTAAAGTTATTTAATTTCTTTTCTTTATTTAATATTTTAAATAAATAACTGTACTTAATATATCATTGATGGTTGATATATAAATCTCATTAATCAATAAAATAAAAACTACACAATATGTACCTAGTAGATACGTGTTCGTTGTAGTAACAGTTTCATAGTAACAATGCAATAATGTATTTTGTTCACAAGCACCGGGAGGCTCACCGCGCGATATCACAGTACGGGCACTTAGAGCTCGCGAGCTTCATGTCACTTGGCAGGTAGTGTGCTTTATATTGGGCGCTATTATATTTTAACATAGTACGACATGTTATTGTATAATTTTATTGTATGACTGACTTTTTGGCCGCTAAGTCGTACATGTGTATTTTAGATGTAAGAGAACCAATGAAATATATAACTTCTAGTTGGTGTATCAAGACGAAACATACCCGTATACCAAGTTTTAAGTTAGAGTTTCAAAAACACAACTGTGAAAACTGCATTCAGTTCGGTACGGTAGTTTTTGCGTAATGCCGTAATAAATATACAGACTTACAGACAGACAAACTTTCTAAAAATCATTATTTTGACATCCTATGGGTCTGGCATTAAGACCTCCTTATACTAATTTTCTTAAATATTTCCCATGTACAGACATTGTCTATATATACATTTATTTGGTGGCATATTCATGATATGTCGCCGTAATGATATCTATGCCATATTATGAAATAGTGCATATATTGTAATACGTTAATTTCATAATATTGCCCAATAATGTAGTGTTACCAGTATTGTTACGTAGAGTGAAATTTATATTACAAAATTAGTGGCACGACACAATTTTTTTTAATAACCGATTTCAGTATTGGCAAAACCAGTTGTTTTGATTTAAAACCATACTGAACCAATTTTGATGAAAATCCTGTAGAATAATCTAAAAGTTTATCTTTTTAAATAACAGAAAACAAAGAATTTTCCAAGTCGGATTATAAATGACGGAGTTCACAAGAGGGAACATCAAAACCGCTGAAGAACATTGGCATGCTAACAACAACACATCTTTCTGATGCCGCATTACAAAATTGTTAGGGCAACTTTTATGTCACGAATTTCGTATTGTAAATTGGGTTTAATTAGATAATAACGATACTTATAATTTTGAAGACTATTGTTTTATTTTGATCATTATTTAGACAAGAACGAGTATGACACGTAAATTAATTAATTAAATCGATTTAATTTATATCTAATGCAATATTTTATCAGTATATGTTTTTATATTACCTACCTATAACATTACCTTATAAATATTACCTATATACATTTATTTACCTTTGTATATATAAAAATGAGAAATGTATATTATGTGTTAATTTTTATTGTGATTAATCAAATAGTTTTGACGTATAAATCTTAGAGCTTATATACACAAATATAATTCTTTTTGTATATTTAGAATTAGCTTAAAAATTAGTAAAACAAGAATATCAAAAGACAATGTCAACAAAATCACTAAGCTTTTTCTCAATAGCCGCCACCGAGGGAGACTTGGCACGGAACATTACTGGGCTATACGATCAAGTGGTGGGAAGTGACGGAGGAGGGCAAAGGCGCCATTAGCGATACCCCAGGATCGGAGAGCGGGGCTAGTGCCGACGCCACCAGCACAACTCTGAGGGGATTAAAGGCCGCCACGCGATATGCGGTAACAATAAGGGCGTATAACGCGGCAGGAACCGGCCCTGTATCACCTCCACACTATCGGCACACTTTGGAATCACGTAAGTATATAATTTTATGTTCTCTCTTAACAACTAAAATTACGTAACTGGTGAAGCTCCTTCACCTTACAGGTCCTAGAAGAATAACGCTACATTGTGATCTCGTGTAGGAATACGAGATACTGTAGGAACAGTACTGTAAATAGGATTTTAGTTTGGCAACAAGCACCTGTTATTGTTAATGTTGTAAATATTATTATTATAATGCCTTAATTTCATATTTTGTATTAATTTCTTTAAACATGCTAGAAAGCATGGCCGCAATATTCATATGTGACAGAGACACCTACGCAGGTGACTAATATTTCTTTGGAAAATTAGATAAGTTAATTTTTTAGTTTGGCCATACCTAGAATTGAAACGGGAACTCCATACGTCTTAGCATTGTCCTGTCGAGGTTATTACATAATTTACCATCGGAATAATAAGGTATTTACAGGTATAAAGAAAAAAAAATACATGGTCTTGTTATAACTTTACCAAAAAACATGTTAAACAGGCTTAAACTCTTATGAAAATTAATCTTTTATATTGTTGGTCTGATCGTATTATAGGACTTATCTGACCACGGTCATAAATTTATTGTTTTTGGTTAGATAATTTTATTCTATCTACGGACACCCGCAATTAAAGGTATTCGTGATCAGAATGTTTTATCTTTAAGCTATTACTAAATATAAAAGTGAAGTATATTTGTGTTAAATTATTACATTTTGTATTATAAAATTTTCAAACATTTTTTATAAAATTTTAAAGAGAAATTGTAAGCTAAGTACGGATTAGAGTATGCAATATAATATAAAATCTTTTAATATTTTACGCGGCAGAAAATGAGGGTTATTAATCAATTTATTTAAATATAATCTACCGTTTTTAATTTAACATGTTAATAAAGAAAATAATCTAATACAATGTTTTGCTGTAGACGTTTTGGTGACAAGATTCACATAAAAACTTTACGGATAAAAACTTTGCCGAAGATTTAAAACAGTCGTTTTATTAAATGTCCATAATGATACCTCTTCAAAAGTTCAACAGCAAAGCTGGAACTCCAACAAGGCGGTAGCCAGTTTTGTCGTCTCGCGTAAATAAATCCGCACTTCTATCGACGTGAAGCGACGATCGTAAATTTTCCCATCAAAATGCAAAATGGCTTAATTGGACTGTGGCCTTTTCGATCTAGGTCAAACGATTCAGAACAAATTGATAGCACTTTTGTGCCTCGGCTTTATTGCATTTTTATAACTGGAAATATCTGGAATGTTCTGCAACAATGTGTACAATTCTGTAGCACCGACGGGTGGGCCTGAAGGAGTGTCGTGTTTGGCCAGCGGTTCTACTTCACTGCGGGTGTCATGGCGCCCGCCAGCTATCGATAATAGAGGAGGATTAATAACACATTATACCTTACAATATACGAGACGTGATGTGGATCCCTTGCTTCCATCTCAAGATGCTTATCTACGAGTTCAGGTAAGATATATTTATTTAGATAGTTGGAGTACCTTTCTAGTTTTAAGTTTCATTTTCAGTTGCTTTAATTGAAAGAATAGATATAATTTTAATGAATTTTTAAACGAGTTTAAAAAACTAAATTATATCATCCAAATGGAATCCAAAGGGTCTTGTAACGGTTAAAAATAAATACTTGACATAATATAAATAGAGTAGATAAATAGTTAAGTTATTAAGAAAGTTAGTATCAAGTTACTACGTAACAGCCAATTATCAATAATGAGGCGAAAAATATTATTGAAGCCTAACTAATCAATACGAATTAAAATTTAAAAATAAAGTATTAGAATTCCATAAATCAATGTTCAGCCCAATAATATAGCAGAATGTTTCAGTAATAATAGTAAAATACATTTACAATATTATTGACAATCCGTATTTTTAAACAAAATAAAATTACATGAGTCGAGACACACATTTTTGATTATTTCACTTATCATTATCATTCACCAGTCATTTAAGATATATATGAGATTATATGGTACGAGTAGATACTGATAATTTTAGTTGTAATGTTCTATTTTTGTCGTTTTAAGTATTTTAAGGTGTCTCATGTATTTCATGTACATAAATTATATATAGGCAGTTCTTGAACAAATTCCTTTAAAAAATATTCCTATACTTAAGTGTTTATAGTTAATTCAATAAAATAACAGTAGCTATTACGTTAATACTGTGAGATTATTCATATTAATTCATTTATCTATATAATATTAGTTTTTACTTGAGACTCAGTCCGTTTGATCGGTAAATGTTTATTGACTTGAGAAAAGTAGTCTAAAACCTTCTTCATACCCTATATTATATATATATATATATATATATATATATATATATATATATATATATATATATATATATATATATATATATATACCAAACAGAATGACTAGTTAAGGCGTTAAGAGGTAATAAATTCAACTTCACATTTATCATACAGTAAAGATTTTCGAGAAGCTCACTTTTATTAACTACCTATTATTACTAACACGTGAAAATTCAAAAATCCCTTTCTAAATTTGTTTAACTAAAAATAGAAATCGGAATATTGTACAGCCAAGGGATATTGTAACGTTTCAACCATTTATATTAAAGTTTTCGCTACAAGTGCCTATATACATTTTATAACGGAACTTCCAGGAAAATATTGTAAAGTTGTAAATAACTGCGATCAAAGTTTAAATAAGTACTTTTATCCTATATAAATGTCAATGTTTGTAAAAGTGTTTCGACATTGGTTATTCAATTACGCTAAAATTGTTGAACTTTTTAAAAATCTACGCATAAAAATACAGGGTCAATTACAGTACGTTATGTGATAATTATGATCATCATGATTATACGTTAACTGTCCCCATTGGGACAATCATTGTCCAGGGGGGGGGGGCAGAAATTAGTTACACTTGGTAGGTGGGTTTGCAACTGCATTTTATTTGTGAAAATGGTATGGTAACCCCGTCTGCGCTAATGGGATATGCTGGCGGAGCACCAGTGAAGGGTGATTGATGAGAATGAAAACAGGCCAGTTAGCCCATCATGATGACTTCATTAGGAATTAACCATGATAGTTTCCAGGGGAGAACCGCGAGGAGGTCGACCTGGTTGGGTCCTGATATTGCTAGCAATGGGATTCTCAGTCTCCATTACTAACAATTCCTTTCCCCCCGTGCAACTGCAGTTAGGCTTTGGTGATGATTAAAGACGGACGCTGCTGCCTATCCCTCGACCGTTAAGCTTCCTTAGTCGCGGAATAGTCAGAACTTATAATTTTTTTTTTATAACACGAAGGTAGCAAACTATCATATAGCCCGACTGATGGTAAACGGTTACTGTAGCTTATAGACGTCTGCAATACTAGGGTCACGTGCGCGTTGCCGACCCTGAAGAAACCTTAATATACCCTTGTTATACGATAGAGGTAATCAAATATAAAATATTGGTCACTGAATAAATGGAAATCTAAACGTGACATCAATCCATCATACCACAGGGTGAAGAGGCCACTGTATCCAGACTAACCTCGTATGCGGAATACGAAATAAGAGTTCGAGCACATAATGCGGCAGGTGATGGACCGCTGTCCGCTCCGCAAGTGTGCAGGACCGATGAGGACGGTTAGTTATTTTACTATTCAATTGCTGGTGTTATTTTTACATTTAATTAGTAATACTTAATATTAATATTACGCTTACTAATATTTAAAAAAATTCAGATTGTCTGTAAGAGATTTCTTTTAGATTATAGATTGATAAGGCTTTTTGTATATGCACATTCTGTAATAAATACTTCTTGTATACATTTATATTGTGGGCAATAAAGAGTTTATTATTACTATTATTAAATTACATGAATTCTCTTGTGTAAATATTAAAACTAGCACTTGTACAATCTATTAGATTTGTTATGATGTTATGTTTTTCAAAAAAAGAACAAGTGATAAAGAATGAAAATGTGTTAATTTTTAAACAATCATCAATTCTCAATTCTGAACTAATTGTGAGAATGTTTTTTTAATTGTTTACTTCCTATTTGATTCCATATTAATTATATACGATTAGAATAACTATTTTTTGCAGAGAAAAATCTTTAATTATGAAATTTAAAAATGTTTTCCAAGTAGCACATTACAATCAATACAAACATTGTTATTACAATATGCAATAGGTAATTTATATCATAGTCCTAAAACATAATGACTGGTAGCTTATTTGCATGATTTGCAAACATGATGCACTAAAGGAAACTTATTAAGGTGATAAGAAAAATTAATAAAATATAGGTATTAAATTAAATTTTCAATTTCATCTACGAAACTATTTAGATGAGATACTTACATAATTATAAATAATGTAACTGATAATATTCTTAGAATAAATAAAAATAATATATTATATATTATAATAATATAAAATTTTAGTACCAAGCGCCCCAGGAGGAATGAAGTTGATTGCTCTTAGCGAGCGTTCATTAAGGGCCTCGTGGCTGCCGCCTCCAGAGCCAAATGGAAAACTTACCCATTACAGTCTATATGTTAAGGATTTGTCCGGGTGAGTTATGACATTTTTTAAATAACGATAAATCCTGATAATGATTAGAGAATTTAATAAGTAGGACTTGTTTGTGATAGTATTGTTTCATAACATTTTACGGTCGCGTCATCTTATTAATATAATATGGATGGATAGATTTTTGCTTGATTTGATGTTTTATTTCATGCAGAAATTAGTGAATAAATTTGAATGAAATTGTTGAAAAATTTGAATGAAATAAAATAAATCGTTTTCGTAGATCCCAAGAAGCTAACATATCTCGTATCAGCGCACGCACTGAGCCGGAGGGTGGCTCTGTGGAATGCATGAAATCTTTGCGTGGTCTCCGTGCTGGTAGAACATATGAGGCCTGGGTGAGAGCTGCCAACGCGGCTGGAGAAGGCCCTCCATCTGCTGCGGTTGCTTGCCAAACTAGTGCTTTAGGTAAAAGAAAATTGTAACAAAGGTACACATGGCAGATATAACGCCAAAAGGCACTTTACACTAGCCAATCATAGATATATAGCAAACAGATAAGTATACTGGCGTTGCAATTGAAAAATTAAAGAAATAAGAAATAGATAATGAAATTTTTAATATAAGTGTATTAAAATATATTTATATCAGAAATAAATATTATTTGGCATTTACGTTCGGGTAACAGAAATTTCATATTGGCTTAACAGACAAATTATTTTATTTAAGTTTCCATAAAGCAATATACCATCAACAACCTCTTGCTATGCTGAATTCAATTAGAAACTCACTTTATCTGAGATAAATGTATTTGAATCATTTAGAATCATTGTTATAAAAATGGTGTCATTTCTTAAATAAAGAACCAAAAAAATGTTAATACTTTAATAAAATAATAAGAGTATAGTTTCTTAACACGAATAGTATTTAATATTTTTGTTCATATTTTGTAGCACCAGCACGTATTTCTTCGTTTGGAGGATTAGCTATGGGAGCTGCAGGGAGCTCTTTATCATTACGCTGCGTTGTAGGTGGAGCTCCACCTCCGGCCAAGCGTTGGCTACGAGGTGGAAGCCCGTTGCATCCACGTCCCCCATTCCACCTTGATGGCGATGCCTTGTTAATACGAAGTGAGTATTATATATTTTGTAATTTTTTAAAATGATTATTAGACGCTAAGGTTTATGTGACACCACTTTTTAAACGTCTTAATTTACATTAGGTTTGGATTTATCACATGCTGACAATTATACCTGCGTGGCTGAAAATCCTCACGGGTCAGATTCTGCTACATGGCGAATAGTGGTGTTGAGGCCACCCATACCTCCTGGTCTAGCTTTATTGGAGGCTCGATCACGAGAATTAGAATTGGAATTACGACCAGCTCCAAGATCACCTGGGCATGCTTTACCTAAAGCTTATACACTGCATTGGAGGCTTGCAACACCTGAGGTAGAAAGAAAATTATGAATTTGCTAAAATCTTTTGTCTAAAAAAATGATTTCATTCTGATTTCGTTTCCAGGGTGAATGGCGAATTCAAGCAGCAACTCCGGGTCCAATTACATTAACAGGTTTACGTTGTGGTTCCTCATATAAAGCATATGGTTCATCTGGGGGTGCTCCAGGGGCTGAAATAACTGTTCGAACTTCTGGTGGACCACCAAACGCGCCTACAGATGTGAGGTGGATTAGAACAAATGCAACGCACGCGAGATTTGATACTAGCGTGTGGAGCGACGGTGGTTGTGGTCCCGTTGCATTGAAGTTAGAGTGGGCTGGTTCCGGCGTGGCTGGTGCGAGAGATGTGCCTGTTGGAGGAGAGGTTATATTAGGGGGTAAGAATTTATTATAATACAGTACTTCTAGTTAGAACAGTAAATATTTTTATTTTGCAGAAAATGATTTCACTCTCTAAGTAAAATACTTGTTGTTGATAATGATTTAATTTTGTGACACAATTATGTGATTTATAAAGATGTTTCGTTATTGTATATGTGTGAACGTATATTTTTTTAAATTGACAAAATTTCTTTAAAATCAGTTAAGCAGTTTAGGAAAATTAACGAAAACAAATATCGCGACACGGATTTTTTATATATTAAGATATGGTTGTTATTTTTGACCAGGTTTGACTCCTGGTTCACGGTATCGTGTTGCCGCTCGTGCTACTAACGAGGCTGGTTTAACGCGTGAAGTGTATGAGTTCACCACTTCACCAACTGAGGGTAGTTTCGCTGAGGAGGTGGACGCACCATTTCCAGCCACAGCTGGCGAGCTTGCATTGTTGCTCGCACTATGTGCTGCATTGTCACTTGCTGCGCTCACTATATTAGCTATACTTCTTAGACGTAAGAGGTAATGTAAATAAAACTCACTGATTTATCCTTATTAATAATTTAATTACTGACCAACCCGGCCTGTCTTGGTCGTTTAAAAATAAAATATAGCCCATAGTACTCACTAACAATGTAGCTTTCTGTAGAAGAAAGAATTATTGAAATCGGTATTTTGTGAGTTTTTTTCATTACAAATAAAATAAATATTTTTATAATATTATTTTAACAATTGGTAGACATTATACAGGTGAAATTGACAACATTCGTTACGTTTATTGACAAAAATGATCAGTTTTATTAGTAGAATATTTCTCTAAAATTATGTTAATGATTTATATTTTATTTATAATACTAAAAAAAGATGTGATTCGGACCAATATTTTGTTTTACTGCATTTTTATTATTACGTATTGGTAATAATTCAACTTTTAGAGGTAAGGCATATATATTGAAACAGTTAAGTACTAACAATTCGGATTGTTCCAATGAAAATTAAAAGACGTTAAAAGAAATGATTTCATTTAACGTCTTTTAAAGAACAAATCAATTTGCTTAATAAATATTAAGTTTTGCATTAGCTCTGTACAATTATAGATATATTATTAATAAGTACGTCGTACATGCATTGTATACAAATATACACTTATAATACAGTTAATATGTCGTACGTTATTCATTTATAAACTGTTTTGCTATTAACTATACGAAAAATAACAATATCGATACGACCTGAAAGTTTTAAAAATAGAAAAGCATAGAAATTAAAAGTGCAAAAGGTTGAAGCATAAAGATTCGTTAATGCCGGTAACCTGTGCGCGACAAACGCTGACACAAGACTCGCCAACAATCGAACGGATGCCATCGACCCTTCTCATGCGTCAGAACAGATTTGAGGGCCAAAGCACATTATGATGACCTCTTTATATTCCATATTTGAAATTTAAGTGAATATATTTTGATGATATTGAATATTAACATATTTAATATATTTATAATAATGTTTAAAGATTTATTTCAAATACATTTTGAATTTAGAATGTAAAGTCGTCTATAAAATTTATTTGCAAAATGTGAAGAATAATGAAGTATATTTTTAATAGCTTTTTTTCTGTGTCCTTTTCAAGAAAAGCAATATTTGTTATTCTAAATAAAGATTAATGTGAACTTTTGGCAAGACGGCAATTTTTTTGATAAACTAAAATATACAGATGAATTTCTTTTGAGTAGTTGGATGTATCATATTAATGATTTAAGTACCATTTTATATTACAATTTACGCTTTTTATTAGACGATAAGAAGTCATTGACTACAACATAATATTACAAATGTATGAGGACGTGTTATACCTATTTAGAAATTCGGGAATACTGTCTGCTATTGTATAATTTCATAATATATATTTAAGTCATGTTACCACAGTATTGAAATGGTAAACAATCTTGACAAATTAATTCTAAGTTTAAGTTGTAAACTTTTTAATTATTAGAATTTAGTGGCGAAAAAAAGTTACGAAAAATGATAAATTTTATAGACTATCCTGTATATTTGATAGTATAACAAATCCTATATCCTATTTTCTTGTATGGTGATGGCAATTTTAGTTTGACAATTATCACTACCATCACTTTTTTTTACTGCCACAATTATACATATAATAAGGTTACCACCTACCAGTTTGTTCCTATTAAACATGCCATTGACTAAATATTAGTATATTAGTAATTCACTTTCTTTCCAGTAGTAAAAATAAAATTAAATAATGTACTTATTATAACTAGATAGAGACTTTGTACAAAAGTCGATTGCTTGGGTACCTCTGTCCCATTCGTGTTTCAACCGTTTCGTGTTTGCATGGCTGTGTTTCGGTTTGAAGGGTGGGATATGGCGTGAATTTACTGGGTACAGAGAAATAACACCTGAGTCCTCAGGAATGGCAACGCATGGGGGGTATCATGGGCGAAACAGTATACTCTGTTATGTCTATGGTATTGCTCATGTCTATAGGCGACGGTTACCACTTTCCATCAGGTGGGCCGTCAGTTTGTTTGCCAAGAAAAGATTTATGACCTAGCTACTGATTTCGATATTACTAATTTTCCTTTTGACTTAGCACCGGGTAAGCTTAAATATTATAATATTTCACGATTCCTAGCTTTTGCTCAAGTTTTCACAAAGTTCTGTTCAATGAGTTCCACTAATCACTATGTAAAGTTATTCGTTCTGGTCGACTTATGAAATTGGAAACTGTGTAGAATCAATATTAAGAACGCTTACATTAACAGCAAATTACTTTTTAAAGAATTGTCGAATATTTAGAGTGATTTATATTCTTTTTGAGTATATTATTAATCGTGACATTTTTATATCACCAACTTATCATAGTTGTTATTATAAAGATCATGATTATAAACTATATACCATTAGGGATGAAATCTCTACTGAAGCCGATAGACGTACGTCGACTGTAGTGGAAAAGTATCAATTTAATAATATTAGTACCTAATTCGTGTGAATAGACTGATAATGTGGAAGAGGTCAATCTGTATAAAGGTTAGGGAGCAAAGCAAAATGGAACACTAAAGTATTCCATTGCTTTTGCTTGCCTCAATGGGAGATAGCCTTGATGTATTACATACACGTCTACTCGTATATAATTGAAGTTGGGTTTCACAAAAAAAAAAAACGATTTCAATTACGACAAAACCAGTTATTTGAATCTAAAACCTGAAGTACTAGATCGACTTTAAAAAAAATTCTAAGGGATTAATCTATAAGTAAATTCTTTCGATTAAAAAATAATTTTCCAAATTGGTTTAGAATTGACAGAGTTATGAGGTAACAAACATAAAACAATAAAAAAATACGACCAAGTTACCTCCTTCCTTTTGAAGTTGATTGATAATAAACACATTAAAATTTTATTTATACAGGCAACTAAATAATGATATTTTAAAATAATTTCAGTATAAGCAAAATACAAAGTACATTTTTAAATATTAAGAGATCTAATTCAATTTTCTTCAAGGAACAAGGATAAAGATAAAACAAAGCCACTGACGAAAAGCGGCGAAGAGCTTTGATTTAACTTCAAATATAAATGCGTACTTACCTAGGTTTCTGAGGCTATGTTGTATACAAAGAGAATAATTCGTCTTGCATTATACTTGTACATACATTTTTGGCTGTACTTCTTCATAGAGGATTTTTTCAACGCAGTAGCTATTGAATGATCTCAGTCAATATTGACAAGTTACATATTATTTAGTGATTAGCTATTATATCGACATTGAGGAAGAATTTGTGTGTATTGCTTCGAAATTAACATAATTTATAGAATAACTATATCTGTTTGTTGTCTTATATTGATTAAACTAGATTAAATTTTACTAGCTAAATAGCAAATACAGATTTTTGTAAAATGACAATGAGGTGGCGTACTCTTATTCATAAATTTTACTAATATAATAAAATTATAATTGAACGATAACTCTATATAAGAGATAATTTGGGAAAAAATATTTGAGAGGTCTTAATAAAAGTAATAGAAGCCAAACAAATATTTTTGGAAATTTTGTTTTGTTTGTTCCAAGTTTACGAAACACCATTGCAGCAAATTGAATGCAGTTTTCATATTTGTATTTCTGAAGATCTAACTTAAAATCTAGTATATATTTTATCTTAATATGGCGTCTAAAAGTGGTTTATTTAATTGGTTTTCCTATTTCTAAAATCTATGCGTACGAAGCAGCTGGTGAACAGTTGGTATTATAATAAACATTCGTCTTGACCGTTTTTTATTATTACAGTATTAAGAATTTACTGCTAAACAACCCTATAAATGTTAGCCCGATTATTCTTGATCGGTTTTTAAAGGATATGTTAAATTGCATAGCAGGAGTGACGGCGCAGTGGCGCGGGTTTCAACAAGCGCCGAGAAATCGGGCTGCGGTACTTACAGAGCACCACCACATCAGACACCAAAATTACCTCCTGATCCACCAGGTAACTACCATTAAAGCGAGACTGTAGTGAGTGTGATATGTCTAGACATGGCTATATTAGTAAGATAAAAACGGAAATTTACAGAGTATGGAGTAATATTTGTATTTGTAATTCTATCTATCCTATTTAAGAACCGCGCTCTTGTCAATGGAACTCTTGCTACTCACTACGAATTTCTGCGAGTCTCTTCACCTCTTGATGTCTTATCATCAACATCAACTTTTTCTTTTGATCAGCCTGATGTAACCGTGCCTTGGTCTCCCTTTTCCCTTTTTACTTATATCTCACCTTCTATCATAATGCTCATAAATTCGTCGTATCGTTTCAAGTGTCTAATATTTTCAATCGTTGTTATAATTTGTCTCTTTTCCTTAACCATAAGCAGGACCTCCTTATTGATAATTCTATCTTTCTAGCTAATTTTTTCCATCCTTCCCCAGCATCACATTTCAAAGTCTCTAAGTTTATCCATTTCTTTCTGAGTTAATGTCTACGTCTTACATTCATACAAAGCTAAAATGTAAAAGCTCCAAATATAGGTCTTGATAAGCCGCTTTCTAATATCTTTTGTTATCTAGTCTGGAAAAGGCGTTTTTTGTTATTGAAGGCTTATTTGGCCATAGCTATTCTCCCAACTACATCCGGACCACATCTGGAGTCACTTGTGATTTAACTGCCTAAATTTGTATTTATTAATATTTAATTTGGCACTACATATACTGAGTCAATATCTAACGGTGTTACTTAACTCCACTGTTTACATTATAATTTTCTTTACGGAACTAGATGTTATTTTGCCGAAATACTTATTACCGGTTAGTTGATTAGAATTATTTTGTTTAATTCCGCTACCATTAGCATGTGTACGACTGCGAACGTTTTCTTTGTTTGTTATTTATTATATGAGGTCTAATTTTCCTTATAATTTAACAACATCGTATCAGTGTATCCCGTAATAGAGAGCAACTACGTTTCCAAATTATAAACAGTAAGATATACATGATTTATTCAAGCTATTTGATCTTTAGCCTCTCGAGACGTATTGCTTCTCAAATTTCTCAAACATATCCCGCTCTCGTGTATCAGTATATAAAGTATTCTATGTTCTAAGCTTAGATTATATAGACAGAGCATCGAGTCTCAAAAACAAGACAACTTTTAGTCAGCTAATTTTCAAATTAGCTTCTGAGCATTATTATTGACAATGTTGCTGTAGTTTTCAATAGTATTTGTTTAAATTTGTATTTTATTTGTGCAAATTTAAGTGGCTGCCTAATTACTATTTAAGTATATAATGTATTGTTCTAGCTGTTTGTTTACCTTAAATAAATAAATAAAATAAAATAAATAAATAAACCTTAACTATTTATCACGTGAAATTGTATGAAAAAGTTGACACGCTTTTCTCGATGCATTTGTATAGAGACACTCTGTTTATATAATCTAACGTTTTAAGCTAGGGTATAACCTATTTGTGTATCAAATTTCATTTAAATCTGTTTAATACTTTTTACGGGAAACAGTAACAAATATCCATCCATATATACTCACAAACTTTTACATTTATTTATAATAAATATGAAGTAGCATTAGTTCCAACGAATCCTTAAATTTTTTTTCAATCTAAAGCGATCATTCTATTTTGTTAGATGTGTACGAAATAAGTCCATACGCGACATTCGCCGGCGGTCCCGGTGCGGTTCAGGGTGGCGGTGGCTCCCGCGCGTACACACTTCAGTTACGAGCGCTCGCTCGCCACGATGACGACGCTGCACCGCCGCCACACCAGTCATGTTGTGACGGTGAGTGAGAAAACTTTATTACATTGTGCATTTTGTGCGCAGAGAAAAGCGAATTCCGTTGTGAATTCGTACATATGGACGAATGAGGGGGTATTTGACTCTATACTATTGTGCAGGGAAATTACACACGAAAAATAACCTTTAAAACGTTTATTTACTACAAAATCGACAGGTCTTAAAACTAACATTGCATTTTATTCTTGTAACATATAACGTCATATGTAATACAAACAACAATTTCATTTATTCATTCATACCTGTAATTGTTATTAGAAGCAATAATTTGTTTTCTTAAGATAGTGTTCATTATAATACTTGTATAATTTGTGATTAAATTTTCTTTATAAACTTACTTGATCTGAATCTGTATTATAAAATGTTAAATATATTCCGTGATCATTTATGAAATAAAAAAAAATGTTGTTACGTCTCGGTAACATAATAGTAAGAAAATACGAGTACTTCTTTATCTATCTTAACAATATTTTGATATGAATCCGTGGCAATTTTTTTTTTATAACCACAATTATGAACTAGTGGATACTACAACTACTACAACAAAATACCGCGTAAAAACCCTTTTTTTTCGGGTTATTGTCTGTGTTGCCATAGTAAAATATGTATATATATGTATATGTGTGTGTATGTATATATATAATAATGAGTAGGGATAATTTTTATATTATTATATGTATTACATCTCCCATATCTAGAACTAACAAATTTTTTTATCGTGCCTCCTACCAAATTGTTTATAATTACTCCTCTCCATCCAAAGGTTGCCTGGAAGAGATCGCTCTTAGCGATAAGGTCGCCCATTGTTTTCTCATTGTGATTATTTCTTGTAATTATTTATATTTATAATAAGTTTACTATTGTAACCTTTTGGAGGAAACAAAAAAGAGAGAATCTATCTATCTAAAATATTATTCGTATTTCATTCGGTAAATTTTTTGTTTGTACGTTCTTCATCCTAGCTACCATGTTAACTTTAACTTTTTCATTATGCACACAAAAAATTGATGGGTTAGTTGGTTATTAATTAAATTAGCATTTAGTGTAACTAAGTTATGCCTTCTATATTATTTATTTGTTATTTTATTGGTAGATAGTGGTGATACTCTTTTTAATTTTATGATGGTCTATATTTAATTGGGTTAAAATTGAATTTATTTTTGTAAATAATATTAAATGTTGATTTATAATACATGTTATAAACAATATTACATTATAAAAAGTTTGTTATATACATACAAGTATGTTATACTACGTATATAGTTGTGCACTACCCTAATCATGTACGTACATAAAATGAAACTCAAATAGTACCTATAATAATATTAAAAGTATCAGAAAGGACATGTCCTGTGTCCTGCTGATTTCAATGAAAATAACTCTGGAATATTGTTAACCTTTCTAACTCGAGAGATGGGCCAAATGAAATGGAAACCCTACTCAGTCCGATTGTATTATTTGATGTACTTTTCCAACTTTCACAAAAGTTTGTTGTACTTAAACAAGGTCAGGAGAAGATGCTTTCCAACTTAGACTATAATATCTAAATGTAGCGTTGAGTGAAAAAAAATATCTTAAAACCGGCCAGATGAGTTGACGCGTTTTCAACCGGTTTTAAAAAGTAGAATATTCTCAATTCTGTTGATATTTTTTCTTTTGTGTTCATTACCTCATAACACCGTCAGTTGTACATCGATTTGGAAAACTCCTTTTTACTTAAAAGGATATACTTTTAGATTTTCCATAAAAAGACTATCAAAATCGATTCAGTTGCTTAGTTTTAAATAACTGGTTTTGCCAGTTTGCTTGATAAATATTACAAATTACAAGATATAAGATAGCCATGTATAATACAAAAACACCTCATTATTAAACATTATGCTGCTTTTGTGGAAGCCTAACAGAAATTTCTATGTAGGTATATAAAGCATTATTAGGGAGTAATTTCTATTTAGACACATATTATCTAAGTTTCCAATTAAGTGACCTACCAAATTACTAAAGAAAAGCTGTAGAGTTCGTACTATTTGAGAAAAACTATAAATTGTGTTACAACTGGAATGAACCAATTTAGAATAAAATTAGAAGCTATTAGAAACTTTATTTACCTCCCCGAGCGTTTTGCACGCGAAGGGCTTTTAGTAGAATTGAAGACGAATTCATTAATCTTGAGACGTGACTTTCTGATTTTAATAACAAATCTCGATGTTAAAATATGCGTAGTTCAAATTGCTTAGACAGTTATTATAATAATTAACTATATAACCCCTAAGTTTATTTATAACAATAACGAGGTCTCTCATCAGATTTGTGACTATTAAACATCCAATAAAATATGAAATTATAATTTCTGATATACTCAAATATGATAATATTTTATTGAGTAACAAATATTATTTGAAAATTTTCATAATTCACATTAAAAATTATAATATTAATAAGATTAAAATTTATTATTGTGTTATTTTAATGATTTCAAAATGTTAATTGCATTTTTTATTTATATTTTATTAATATCGAACACAGACGTTGAATAAATGTACATTATTATAATTTATTTAAAAATATATTAACTTCCAGTACGTATGTTCTGTTGAATAATCTGTTATTGATTTATTTAATTTCTTTAATATTATAGATATATTGAATTTATTTTAATATTTTTGTAGGTTTTGTCATTTAAAAAAAGTTAAAAATGAACTTCATTAAAGGTGAACGTAAACAGTATTATAGTCGTCAAGCATATCTCGATCACCTAATACTAAATTGATACTTTAAATAGTAATATTATTTATATAATGTTCAGATATATTTATTTATTTCTCAATAATTATTTGCAATTTATGCAGAGGAGACTTGCGTGGATGCATGTGATGCCCAACGGCGACGACGGCGCCGACGGCACTATTGCCCCGATCACGGTAAGATATACAGTTTACATTTTTTTTATTCTAATAATGATAAATAAATATTTCGTAATGGGAATATGAATCTTGAGTTTTTATATCTGAACCATTCAGTTTTTATAAATTAGTACGGGGCTATTCCGAAATTAAACCCTTTCAAATAACTATCACAAAATCTGTTACCAATTGGTGAAGTAAAACATCCTACATACAGAAAATAATGTTCATAATGCCTTTTTTTTTATAATTCAGTTAAATATATTGTAAAATCGTCAACTTCATTTATTTGTATCAGTGAACAATGTTAGATTCGAGTAACATTGTCAAGCTTCCTACAATTTATATTAGAAACTAACTTTTACTCGCGACTTCGACCGCGTAATCGTTATAAGAAATACCCTTTATCCTTCTTCAGTCTATATAGTATGTATATACCCAATTTTATAGTGATTGGTCAAGACGCTATAAGGTAACAAACAGACTCCTATTCACATTTATAATGTTATTAAGAATTATTAAATATAAGAATTATTCAATATGTGTATTATAAAATTTTATTATAAAATTTTATTTTATGAATGTGGAAGAAGCGAAAGAGGTTTGTTTGAATCGAAGCATTTGGCGTTCCATTGTTTCTGCCTACCCTAATGGGAGACAGGCGTGACAGATATGTATGTATGTATGTATTATAAAATTTTAAGTTTAATGTATTCTATCTATTTATATCGATATTCGCTCGAACTTCAATTGAACTGTCAGTAATTTACAGCCAAATTTAATTAATCAATTACATAGGACCACTGAAGTTTCGTTTTATCCGAACTAATTTGTTTATTGCCTTTGTAATCTTATAAAGAAATACCGTCTGTTTCCCGTTGTTCCACGATTTGTCCTACATTAAAACAGATGTGAAAAAAAAAATCTATCTGTATGACAAGTTTTTTCCATTCCTTTTTTGGTCTACTGAGTATTATGATAAGTAGGAAATGGTTTTGCCAAGAAAATCAAGAGTAAGTGAAATTAATCCGGACACACTTGCTTGCTTTGCTAAAACCTCCATTTGGTGAATTTCTGGTAAAATATTAAATATTTTGTTTTTTTTAAAGAATATAATTACCTTTTTTTTAATTGTAATTAGCCTTAAAGTACTGTATGTATTGATAATATAAAAATAAGAGATATTTACAAAAAAGTTAAACCACTTACAACCGACTTCAAAAAGAAGGACGTTGCTTAATTCGGTTGTAAAATTCTTTTTCATTTGAAAGGATATACTTACAGTTTGGTCCCATAGAAATTTTATCAAAATCGGCTCAGTAGTTTAGTTTTGTAATGAAAATAAACGGTTTTGCCATTTTTTTACTTTTTTTGTGGATCCTGACCATTCTTGTCGATGCATTTCTAGAAACTCTATCTATTATATGTTCTAGATGTAGCCTAATTGTAACATTATGTATTTACAGGTTGTTCACAAGACTCAGGGAGTTGAGAAACGAAACTGCCAAATTCGTTAGTGAAAAATTGTCTAGTCAGTGTAATTTAGAGAATTCGGTTATACATATTAATATGTATACAAAAATTTATACAATAATATTGTCTATTTATATTATGAAGTTTTTCTTTGAAACAAACCTTACTCATCCTAACTTTATTCCAAGACATCATTATATGAGTAGAAAGTTAGACTAGAAAACGTCCACTTCTAAAATTGTCCAATACATTTGTAAGCAGTTTTTTTTTATCATAACAGAGTTTATTAGTCTAAAAAAACATAAGTTTATAATTTTTAATGCATAAATATTTTTGTTGGTACGTATTTCTTTTAAAATACTTTACAATTACACTAACGGCCTGGTGTTTAAGCTAGGATACCATATGCTATGAGGAACCTGGTAACAAATATCTGGGGGCAACACCAGAATACCCAGACAGAAAGTCAATTCAGAAAAATTCGTTTTCTAAACTAGACCGAAAAGGAATCGATCCCAGGTCCTCTTTTACGTAAAGCAAGGCACCTACCACTGCGCTACAAAGGTCACTGATCTGACAAGACTAGTCATTCCTTTAACAGGATTTTAAATATATATAAAAAAACACATAATCGATTTTATTGAACATTGCCTCTTACAGTATAACAATGAGATTTTAGTTATAATTCCCTATCGTTTTATAAACTTAAAGCGTCCCTAAATATTTTAAAATCTCATACAAAATGGATATTTTTCTTAGTACACGCAAAGATATTTTAGCGTAGTGTGGCAAGCACACAATCTTGATAGGAAAACTTATAAATCATAGCTATATATCTGAAACAAATGGTGGTGTTTTGTTGAAATTGTACAGACAAGAAAAAATAAGCACTGAGGATTTTATAAAGTTGATAAAAATTTATAATTTTTGATATGAGTCATTTCTTTCAAAAGAGCATCGTAAACTATAGAACTATGTTATTATGTTAGCTATAAAATTTATTTCATATACATCGTTTCCACGAAATACAAATACAGATTAGTACTCGCTATCAATTTACTTTAGTAAATCTAAAAATAAGATTCTAATTTAAAAATAAATGCACCCATAATTATATTAACGCGCATTGTAATATATGAAGGTAAATTCAACACTAATGTAAAATTGTATATGTCTAGTGTGGGTCAATGCGTCTTTGTCCTTTGTCCTTAATTAAGTATGTACCATGGATTCTTCACCCTAATTATTAGTAAATATTACTAAATATTATAAGTACCTATAATCCTACATACTTTTCAGTAGTGATGAGGATAGGATGGCTTTATTGTACTAGTTGAGACAAAGTAAGATTATATTTAAGTATAAAAATAAATAAAAAGTATTTGATATTGTTGCAACAATGGTTTTTAAAATTAGAATGATAATATAATTATTCATTGCCGAAACATTGCAATACAAATTAAATACAACATATAAAAAGGGACCATCTGTTCGCTTAGAGAGCGTGAGTGATAAATTGTTTCCCTGCTCCCTTTTTGAGGTCAGATACGGCAGGTATATAGGTATGTTTAAAGTTGCCTCATTTTAAAGTATACATTCCACTGATATATATTGCACTAATATATAAATTTTAATGCGTGATTTATAGTAATTTGAATTATGTACGTGTCTTCGAGTAAATGTTGAATAGAGTATACACATATAAAAACACTATACTCGTTATTTACGAAGGTCTTCCCATGTTGCTGCCAACATTAACGCTTGGATAAATAAATTGATGCTTTGCTTTACCTCACCGTGTTATTATATTAGTGGGAGTATGTTTACCATATTTGTGGGGTACTGAATTACTTATGTAATTCAGTACCCCACAAATACTACTAGGTTTTGTTGAATATGATACATGACCAAAAATACTATAAGGGAACTTAAATTTTGCCCAAGCGCTTTGTCTCAAATCTAAAGGTTTAATTGAATTGTTGCAAACAAACAAACGATTGATAACAAATAGATATATAAATACTTTTCTTATTCTCATAATTTTTTTTTGTTTATAGTTTAATGCATAAATATATAAATAAATATACAATACATTGACGTTCTTTACAAGTCAACCAAAGGGCAAACAGGAAATTAAATAGGCTATGTAATTATTTACAATTAAAATTTGTATAGATAAGAAGTTAAAGCGTAAACATAATATGATATGTTATGCATATATTAATGAAATATAATATTTTTAAAACTTATGTTCATATTTAATATGATGTCTACATGCGCAACGTAAATTTAACAAACTGTATTTGTCGTTTCGGATATTTGTTTAGACTTCATTTGGAAGTCTTTTTTTTTTTAAATTGGTCATTTGCAGTTTGACTGCCGAATAGTTAACACTAAGCTCTAAGTAACTATCTAATAATTTACCTGAAGATGCCTCATGTAGAAGTGAAACGTGTCGCAAAACGTATGTGAATAAAATGACAGTCGGAGATTTATAACTTATATCGAAGGTTTGGTCCGACTTGTGATTCCGGTATAGAATGGGTCACACTTCTTTTCCCATGGGTGTTGTAAAAGGCGATTAAGAGAACTAAATGGTCGAGGGAGAGGCAGCAGCATCTCTTTAAACATCATTAAAGCCTTACTGCGGTTGCAGTCAACCTGCTTGCCAAATATAGCAACTACTAGCAAAACCTCACTTATAGGGGATACCTATTTTCAGCAGTGAATAGTTTAACAGCTGTTAAACTATACTATGGTATGGCATGGAAGGTTGTGGAACTTTTGATAGTTATAGTGGCGGTAAATCTTCGAGTGTTGACAGTTACACACATACTAATGGTAACATAATAATAATTCCAATAAAAAAAACTAGTGGTATGGACTTCTGCACACCTAGTTCACCTAACACTAACTGGTAACACCTAGTTCAGTAAAATAGTCAAATATATCCTAAAATTAATGGATGATTTTGAATAATAAGTATTTCAGCTGACGTATTCGAATTAGTGATATCTAGTATAGTATTATATTGTGTTGATAATGTAATGACATGTCCTACGAGGTGGAGAAGTTTGTGGCACCGTTATGTAATATTACAGCCGACTCAAACCATAAAGATTCATTTGAGTTAAAGTATTTAGATTACCCTTAGGACTTTGTTAACTCTTGTTTATATTTTTATTTCATAAACAAAAATATATAAACATGCTTATTGTACAAATAAAATAGGAGATGTATGTATTTATATAATAAAGTATTTATATATTAGTAGATAGATATTTATTAAAACTAGGCATGGTATCTATATATAAGTATTTTTTTTTATTCTGCCTTTTTTTATACCACAAAGGTGGCAAACATGCATACACCCCATCTGATGGTAATGTTTACTGTATCTTATAGACGCCTGCAACTAGGGATGTCACGTGCTCGTTGCTAACCCTGAAGAAACCGTACTATACCCTTTTTATATAAATAAAAAATAATACATAATTAGGTATATACAGATAAGGAAATGGTTAATAACTTTCTTCCCAATTCCTGAAACTGGTGATATTAAATGTTATAATTACCTGCTAAACTATTTATTGTGAATTCTGGTAGACGAAAAATGAATTAACAGGCTAAAATGATAAAAGTTTTGCGATATCAAGGAAAGATATTACACGTCAGATACACGTGCGCAGTTCCACGAAAACCTGTTGAGTTCTCTTTTAGTTGGTTTCGTATTGTTGTGAATTCAGTGGTGGTAGAGTTTTGTATAATACGTAGTATTTTTTTTTTTTTGATTGGTGAAAATGGAATGGTAACCTCGCCTGCGCTAATGGGATACGCTGGCGGGGCACCAGTGAAGGGTGATCGATGAAGTGAAACAGGCCAGTTAGCCCATCATGATGAATTCATCAGGAATTAACAATGATAGTTTTCAGGGAGAGCCGTGAGGAGGTCGACCTAGTTGGGTATATTGCTAGCAATGGGATTCTCAGTCTCCATTACTAACAATCCCTTTCCCCCCAATACGTAGTTATACTACGGCGTACTTTATTAAAGATAAGATGGTAAGTGACTAGTGTAATTTCTAATTCAATAAATGGGGCCTAACTTTCTAGCTTTGAGGGATTATGTGCAAGTAAGTACATTAGTGTAGGTAGGAAAATTAAAATAACACAGTTATAATAGTTCCGAGATATTTACAATTTATTTTTTGTAAATAAAATGTACTTCTTCGTTTCTTTGTCTTACTTTCTTTGTCTTAATATTTTTTATAAGTTTCGATTAAATTTATTATCTCGAATAATTAGTATAACATTATTCATTATAAGTTAATTAGTTAAATTAGTTATAAATATAAGTTGCATTAGATATATGCAACAAATATATATAAAAAACATAATATTATATATGTACATACGCATTGAAAACGTAACCATTTCATCTACTTTCTTTGACAGTTGGGTATACAAAACCATTTCATCACCGAAATTGTATATGTGTATATATAAATGAAATTGTGACTGAAAAAGGTAGATACAATACTTTAAATGAAAATTACTAGGCCGCATCCCCACTGGCCGCAATCCGCAAAAGGGTTTTGAGCCGTAACAATTAAGAATGCCGTCACTATACCGCTGGTAACATATGGCTTGGCTACAAAACGTATAGGAAAATGCCAGAACGTTAAAATGTTAGTGCAATATTTATGGCAGTGATTCGCTGTCTTTATATTCAATGTAATTAAAGGTATACAGAATAGTGACAGCTGTGACACATTTTCAAGAATATATCGTTGAAATTTTTATATATAAAAATTCCCAATGTTCGTTCAGAATAATCTTCTGAATCGAATGAAATTTTGTAAATATGTATTGTTTGCTCCAACTTGAAAATTGTAAGAGGCAAAATAACGTTTATCAGGTCAGTTAGTAAAATGTAAAATAAAACCTTTTTCGTTGTAGGTGCAAAATTTTAAAACGGTTGAATCGATAGATATTTTTTTATATAATATAAAAAAAAAAAAACATCATTATGGATATTACGGGACACTAAATATTCGATATAGCCGACTAAGGTTTTTGGTCTTGTCCTATGAATATG